GCGGGGCCCCAAAGGGAACATTTACCAATATTTTCAAATTCTTATCCATTGATGACATGACAAGTATTGTATTTCACTTAGTTTACATGCTGATTTCCACATCACATCTAAACAATAAAATAAAGCTACCAGTACCTATGATATAACTCAGGTGACCGCTAAGGCCCTTGGGCCTCTTGTTATTTTTTATGCTACTATCAGCTTTAAATTATTATTATATTTTTACATATCTAAAAATAAGAACAAGTTAGAACATTTTTGGCAAACCTTTTTCTGGTAAATTTGGAAAAAAAAACAGTGATATAGATGATATTAATCAATAATAATGATAATTATACCACAGGCAAGGTCAGAGCCTATAACTCTGGACAGTGGCCACATAGCAATGACCTACACTGCCCTTGCATCCCTACTTATCCTTGGAGATGATTTGTTGAGGGTCAACAAGAGAGCTGTCGCAGCAGGCTTACGATCATTGCAGCAGGAAGATGGCAGGTAATGTCAAGGGCAGCTCACTCTTTAATGTTTTTCTTATGCTCTTTTTTTCTCTCCCTTTTATTTTTAATTTATGCATATATATTTAAATATATGTTATACATTACTTCGATTGTGTTTCCTTTTCAGGGGTAAATATTGACCATCAAAATGAATGCTTCTTATAGCTGTACATCTCAAGGACTGAAACAGTATTTATTTTTCACATATTAAAAGTATGAATGTTAAGTTTTTATTGGTTGTCTCCCTTTATACATTTTTTTTTGTTTTGTCCGTTAGTTTCTGCTGTGTACCAGAGGGCAGTGAGAATGACATGCGGTTTATCTACTGTGCTGCCTGTACCTGCTATATGATCAATGATTGGAGTGGAATGGACACAGAAAAAGCTGTTAACTTTATAAAAAATAGCCAAGTAAGATTTCCTTCTTGTAATCAGTAGTTCATCATTATTTTCTGCAGTAGAACTGTCAGTTTATATCAAACAATGATATTGTCCCAATAATGATTCCCATTTGCATTGCCGATGGTAGATATGGTAATTTTGGCCCCAATTGGATTTGCAAAACATGTGAGCTACTTTTTGTCTAGAATAATTCTCCATCGTTGTTTGCTTGTACACTTTGAACTGATTTCATAGTTCAGTGGTGGGAGATAATTGTCAACAGGCTGCAATTTTGTTTATAATGTTAACCAGACCCTGCATTTTGTCAAATCGCATCGCAGTGTTTACAATTTCAATCTGTACCCAAATATTTCCCCTGAAATAGTCTCTGGAACAGGGATAAATCAAAATCTAAATTTAGTGACTTGTCATATTTTAATCTATCAAAATATTACAAATTTATTTTGTGTGTCAACTTTTGTATTAAAGTAGAAAAATTCAATTGATGCTTCTCTGGTTTTGCAGACTTATGAAGGAGGAATAGCTCAGGGACCAGGACTGGAAGCTCATGGTATTAATCACCTTACAATTTATTTATTTTTTGTAAATTAATATCATAATTTTGTAAGATTCCCCAAATTAATTGCAGCATATGCCAAGAATATGCTGCTCACTGTTAAGCCTGTAGAATAGTATTGGACGAGAAGCTGGATCAAAAATGCAACATTCCATTACTCTCTTTAATCTTTATCAAATCCAATAATTCCTGTACAAATAAAAGCGATCTGCAGCTTTCTCTTAATATCAAAAACATGACAGAGTATTATTTTTCCACATTTAGTGAAATAATGTCATTGGATATTCACACATTCTAAAATCACTTTAAGATCAGGTTAAGTTAATTTTCAGGAAAAATATCAGTTTTAAAAGCCCATCATTATTGAATAATTTGACTTTTTTTACTTAAACATGACACAAAATAAGCTATGTGTTTGTTTGCATGTCGTTTAAAGGAGGATCAACATTCTGTGGTCTTGCTGCTCTGGTATTAATGGGGAGACTGGAAGAAACTTTCTCTGCCAAGGAGATGAAGCACTTACGCTGGTGGTGTTTAGCTCGACAGCAGACTGGCTTCCAGGGCCGACCCAATAAACCGGTGGACACCTGTTACTCCTTCTGGGTTGGTGCTAGTCTGAAGGTAGGATGTCCGACTCTCTTCCGTGTTCTCCCCAGACATGTGTAGCAAGCAGCATAATACATTTTCAGACAATACTAAAAATGTTTTTTTATGTATTCATACTAGATTCATGCTGAATATGTGAAACAAAATGTTGTGATCTTTTTCTTAATTTTCCGAGGTAAGGTAATGCATGTGTGCTGGTGACAGAATGTACCAATGAAAGATTGTTTGAAAATAAAATTTATCACATGTTAAGCTATTTGAACTGTGTATAAAACTGGAAAAAACCTAAATGTCACTTCCTCATTGTCAAGAAAATATCTGGGTTTAAAACATGGTACCTTTTTCCATTTATGAAACCTATCTGGCATACAATAATACTTGGAGCATTACGGCATGGCTTGACTTTTAATGACATAAAATGACAGATATTTAAAAAAAGAATTATTTACCAGATATTTAATAACATTCTTTCAACTAAACACAAACGAAAGAAATTATTTTCTGCCAAGATACATTTTGTTCAAATTTCTTTTAAACTTAACTTATCGGCAATATAAATATTAGTAATTATTCTGAAAAAGTGTTACCCTTACATTAGGGAAAGTAAAAGAAAAAAAAATCCTCTTTAATTTGAAATGTTTCTTATGGTTTAGCACTTATAACAGAAAATAAAAAATGAAAAATAGTGCAATTGGGCAGATTCAAATCCAAATTTAAGATTAGTGATTAGTAAGAATAAAGTGTAGATAAACCAGACACTGTATAACTACAAACCCTGTCTACATAGACCTCACGGATTTTGGTTTTCCTGGTTTTTTTTTAATATATACATATTCTAATGAAATATATGTTTTGGATTGGAAAGATGCCCTCCGTTTTATCAACTGATTTTTGTTTCAGCTGCTGGACATATTTAAATTAAGTAATGCTGAATTCAACAAAGGGTTCCTAATGTCAACACAGCAAGCCATTACTGGGGGATTCTCCAAGTGGCCTGATCACACTCCTGGTGGGTACAAACTCTTAGCTTTCCATGTCTACTCACAGTAACCATTTTTTTATTTAAAAGATATTTGACTTTTCAAAATGACATTGTTTTACAGAAAAATCAAAACAATTCCTAAGGCTATGCATGTGCAAACTTCACCATAAATCCAACTGAAATTGATTCCAATTTCTCAGTACATAATGAGTTAAAAGATGGGATAAAAATCTTGCGGTTTGATATTTGTTTTGTAGGAGCTGGTATGTTTTTTTCTAAAACTATTAAGTTCTGTCCTTTGAGATTTAGTCTTCTTTTTAACCCTAGAGTTACTTCCCTTTACTTGTACTAAAAAGAGGTCTCTCTATACAATTAAATATAATTGTAGAAAGCAGTAAACCTGTCAAAATGCATCTAGAAAACAAGTCATCATGTTGTTTTGTGTTTCAGATGCACTTCATGCATACTTTGGAGTGTGTGGGATGTCGTTGCTAGGGGAACCAGGAGTACAGAAAATGCATGCTGCATTAAACCTGAGCCAAAAAACTGCACAACATTTACATGATGTACACAAGAAGTGGCACTAACAAAGTAGCAGTTATGTGCAATGAAATGCACATCTTCATACCATGTATCACCTATTAATAATCAGATCATCATGTCCTTAACCAGTTGCCCAAGAGCAAATTTTAGTTAAAAGTTAACCACACGTCAATTCAGGAAATTGTTTATGAATGTGTATAGTTGCTCAATATATTACCAATATTGAAAACTGTAAAATCTTCAAGAATAGTTTTTGTTTCTCCAGGTACCTTTTGTATTCACAATTATTTGAATTAATGATATACTGGGAAATATGATTTAATATTTTTTCACTTCCTTGCTGTAGGTACAAAAGTTTATGAATAATGATGCAAACACTGTCGGGTTTCAGCCAAGTTACTCTTGTGTAATTTTAAATCATTCATAACCTCCTACTGTCAAAACCACTAGCAGACCTGTCAATGAAAATATATGAGTTGAAATCCTCAGTTTGATTCCTGTTCACAGTAATTTATTTGTAGTGGTAAAATCCTGCTCCAGAAGTTAAGTACCCAGGGAAAGTAATTCTCGAGTGCTTTATCTAGGACAACTCTGATACCCACATGCTGGAGCAAGTGGGTTATTTCATTCTGTAGTCTTCATGAACATGTAACTGTATCGTTGTACCAAATATTCTTGTATATTTTTTTTTTGTATCTAAAATTTATTTTACCTTGATGTTTATTTTATTTAAAATTGACTACCTTTTATATGAAGAGATTAATTTATACACGTTACAGGTATGCAAGCTGTTTAGTGGTACATGTATGTCGTTGATGGATTGGTGTATGTATGTCGTTGATGGATTGGTGTATGTATGTCCTTGTTTCTGTGTGTACATTGTAGGCAGTGAAGTATCCTTTTGTATGTACGTTCCACCCAGTACCAATATTATTGACTTACTGCTAATACATTTGTACATTTAATGTATAGGACTTCTTGCATCAATCTAAGGCCGTAGCTGAAGTGCTAACACTATGGCTTCGGTAGAAAGGTTGCTGAATGATTGGATTAATTGGGACAATATTTACTTTGCACGTTTTCAGCAGCACAGCCATATTGTATTCCTCTGTCTATAACATGATGATGCGCATTGCTCGTAAATGTCTTTTTTTTCATAATGATGTTTACTTATTTGAAAAAAAATAGTGTCAGCAAAAGAACATATTTCAGAAGTTAAATTCAAATGGAAAAAAAATCAGTTTTTGAGTTTGATGATGTACAATTGTTTTAGAGTAGTAGGTTTTTCTCTGAATTGTAAAACTAGAATATACTGTTTTCTTGTTCCAATTTTCATAATGTATGGAGACAATGAACACATGCCTTAAGTTTCACACTCTGTTGTGTGGTATTATCTTTTGTTAATTTTCTACATGTACCATAATCTTTCTAAATATTTAAGTTAAAATTTAAAAGGTACACCATCAAGATCAAAATATTATTATTACCTTTGTCACTTTTATTAAACATTTGTTGAAGTCCTTTTCTAGAGATCTATTCTGTATTCATCTGTAAATCACATTTTGTGAAGCTTTTTATAGAAGTATACTTGTTTGAGTTTTCGAAAATGTAAATAGAAAAAACCCTACTGAGGTTCAACTCAGTGTCAGTATACTATCCCCTCACTTAACCAATATTTCTAGCAAGGAATTGTATTAACATGAGAGATGAATACTTTGTGAAGTTCCTCTCAGTCAGAAAATCTGCATTTGGTTGCTTCATCTGCTATATATAAGGGTTGATAATATTCTAACACTAGGAACACAGTTCTGAGAAAAGCTTCTCTTCATCACAGTGTAAACAGATGCGTTGGTACCCTTTACCTTAAGAAATGTACAGAGGTGTAAACTTGTTAAAATTTGAATATAATTTCGTAGGAAATGCATTGGAACAAAACTTCCTTACATTCACTGCACTTTGTGTGTGCATGTTTCATTGATAGTATGTACATATATGAAAAACTCTGGCTTCCACCTCATTTTGAGTTCAGTGCAAAAGTGGAAGCACATTTTGTTGAACAGACTTACTTTGCTTGACACACAAATGTAAGACTTGTAATGACTTAATGTTTAATCCTTTTCGATCACCTGTCAAAGATTATATATTGATGTAATCTGCATACTCTTTAACAGTTGTTCTGTAATATTTAAAATGAAATAACACAATAAGATAATAAAAATCGAATAAATAGTGAGGACTTTGATGTTATCAATCAACATTCTAAATACACAGAAAAGGTACCAAAGGTACCTGTTGACAGTTTGTTACATGGTTTTTTTGGGGGGGGGTGGGGGGGGATTAATAAGGAAACATGAAGAAAATTTATATACATGATCCTCTTTATCTCTCCCCTGCTTAGTCTTTCTTATCAACGGGTTTTCTTGGGTATCTTTCTATATATGACGTCAGCTGATGCAACCCTGACATTTTGAGCCCCACTCCTTTGTCCCAAGGCTAGATGTTCCAAACTTTGAGATGGATGGGAAAATCTAGCTTAGAACCGATCCCTCAGTGATCATGTTGCAACATGTTTGCATGATCACTTTGGTTCTTTACATGTACATGTGCTTGTTTAAGAAAATACTCTTAAAACCTGTTTATACCTACACTGACTCTTAACACCTGCATACAGACTACTGACACTGAAACTCCAATATGTATACATACTGTGACTCTTTGTTTTTCTAATTAACACGAATACACGTGTATACCAACACTGTGACTCCAACACATGTAAAGACGGAAACATAAGTGTATACAATGCCATTTCCATTTAAACATAATTATTCAAGATTTTAAAACGTGTATTCCTGGCATTACGACTGGCTAAGAGGTTGGCATCATCCATGGTCACCGAGAGTTATCTTCAGGTGGATTGCTACATCGTGTTTTAGTACAATAGTCTGATATTTTTCTAGTAGGATAGTAAGTCGTCTACATGTGGCATTAAATGGTAGTCAACTGACCTATAGATCTATATACAAGGACCTTTTGACTTGGTGATATAAGTAAGTACATTGCGTGTCACCTGTGTATTTGAGGGAGGAGATTGAATTTCTCTGCCTTTGGAGAGTCGTAGAGTAAAATCTTGTCATCGCTTTGTATGTTCTGTGATAGCTGCATTGACCTAGTTACGCGGCGCCCGTCAAAAGTTTTTCGCCGTGTAAGACCTCTAACATTGTTGGAGTACATTGACCTACAAGACATGCTCTAACATCGCGTTATTGTCTACCTTCCGATAGAAAGCCTCGTTCGATAACTGACGATCGGTCTCGGTCTCCTGAATGCAATCCTTCCTGTTCATCACAACTTTTTACCGATCTTTTATCGGACGGGTTAAAGACAATGTTGGTTTGAAGGACTACTTTGCGTCTCGTTCGCTTTGCCCAATATTTTCCCATTTATGGTAAAAAAAACCTGCCATTTTATTTAACATGAGTGCTTCCAGGGCTCAAGATTTTCCGGTTGGGGCATGCGTTCCAGGTAATCTTCTGCCTAAAGACTAGAGCCTCGATAAAAGGTATCTTTTCAAGTCATCTTAGTCTTAGCAGCCAGTAGAAATTCTCTTTCTTCATGTCTTGAAGCAATTCCAAATTATTGTGATATCTTGAGATGTGACATAAATTTAAATGTTTTCTGCGTCGCCAAATAAATGTTTTATAACGGGCACCTATTGCTTCGTATTTCTTGTGATTATTTTACAGAGTAGCGATTTTTTATTGTTTGGTTATAAGAAAGTACGATAAATTGACGACTGTTTTCTTGACCGATCCGCGCTCATCATGTAGTCTTCTCTTTCTGAATTTCAGCTTTGCTTCAGGCGAAGTAACGATAAGACCTGACATCTGACTTATTCCCTTGTTTAGGAAAGAAGCAAGTTAATTGAACATGTTTGGTTGCTTTCTTGTGATGTTGATTTGAAATTGATATGGTGTGAAGTCGTTCCCTTTTATCGAAGCAGCAAGTTTCATTCTAAACACTTTCTGAATAGAAGAATCAATTTCGTTTGGTATACATGTATTACCTCGGAGCGTGCAGCATGTGGATATTGTGTCGCAGAGTGACAACGCGTTATGCTTCTTAGAGGTCTTGTAAAGAACTGTTGGGTCCATTGTACAAACAAGGACAGAAATAATAGTAACAATAGATAGTTATTCAATATATAAGGATATATTATCATGGGCACTATATCAGTACAGAATCGGGTAACAAAACTGGACATTGACTACAGGGATGGGCATAAACAGCAACGTTTCCTGTGAACAATTAATACTCACTGCCATATATTATCAACAGGCTATTTTAGCATTGCAGTCCGACATTTTTAATGGACAATAATATAGCATACAATGTATGTTGTCCTTTATTATAGTAATCCCCCGTATAGCATACAATGTATGCCATCTCTAATATAAGTATCCCTTATAAAGCATACAATATAGGTTGACTTTAATAAAATTATCCCTCATGTAAAATACAATATATATTGTCTATAATATAATTAACTCATAAATAGCTTTAAATTTACGTTGTCTTCAATAAAATTACCCCTCGCAGAACATACCATGTGTGTTTTCCTTCAATTAAATAATCCCTAAATAGCATACAATGTATGTTTACTTTAATATAATAATCCCTTAAATAGCATACAATGTATGTCTACTTTAATATAATAATCCCTTAAATAGCATACAATGTATGTTTACTTTAATATAATTATCCTTTGTACAGCGTACTTGTATGTTATGTTGAATTTAATTAGACCTCGCTTAACAAATCATATATGCTGTCTTAAAAATGAAGATCTCTCAAATAACATCAATGTGTTATCTTTAATTTAATTTCCCCTGATGCAACATAGATTATATGTTAACTTTAATTTCCCCTGATATCACATACAATATATGTTATCTTAAATTGAATTGTCCCTTATATAGCATACAAAGTATGTTGTCTTTTATATGATAATACCTTATATGTTATATAATATGAGTTGTCGTTTATTATAATCATCCCTTATATAGCATACAAAGTATGTTTTCCTTTAATTTATTCTCATGACGTTCTCGTATCGATTTCTTAAATAGTTGAGATCCCTGTTTCGTGTTCAGTTATCCATTAATTCAGTGGTTTGTTTCAGCTCGAACTCTCTTATGTTTAAACGCATTATATTGAACTAAATGTTGTTTTATGCATAATTAAAGTAATTATCGATTTTCAGTTCCCTCTACATTATGGATTTGGGAAATAAAATACTTCAGTAATGAAATTGACGATTGCAAGTCTCATAATAAATAATCGTTATAAAATCCGATAGGAAATCTAATTATTTTGTTCAGTAATGCATGTATTCTATACCCTTAACAGGTACAAGTGTGCCATTTGAATTAAAAACAATCTGACAAATGAATGTATAATTACGTTTTTTTTACAACCTTACACTTAAAATGAGATATCTATTAATTTCTGAATAAGTTTTATCCTCATGTGAATAACGTTAATTAAATCAGACTCCTTTTAAAGTATTGTAAGATTTTATCGTAAACCAAATACGAATTTATTTGAGGAAGATGTATATCCATAGCATTTTTTTCTTACAAATTCAATCATATTTGAAGTATTATTATCGCTTTGTGTATTATATCACAACGGGTGATTAAAGGGCTATAAATATTTTCATTAGAAACGAGTAACAACTATTATTGATTTCTCTTCCAGGAGAGGGCTTGTATAGGCATTACGCCTGTTTTGAATTTGTATAAGATGCAATATCCAATAAAATCTTTGTGAAATCATTTTTTTCTCTCTTAAGCTAATATAGCACGGAATAGAAAATTGTGGATGAATATCATAAAATATCAAATATAAATATTAAAATGATTTGAGATATAAGTGTGTATACGTTTTAAAACCCATGAAAACAGATGACAACGAAGTGTTCGTCAAATTATCAATGTTAATCAAATTTAGCAACAAAAATTCAGAAAGTCCTGGAGGAAAGTACTCTGGGATGTCTCTCAACTCTGTAACTGATGCTGACTGCGGTATGACTACCAGCGTACTGTGTTGTTTCACACTGTATAAACATGTATTGTAACTGATGCTGACTGCGGTATGACTTCCAATGTACTGTGTTGTTTCACACTGTATAAACATGTTTTGTAACTGATGCTGACTGCGGTATGACTACCAGCGTACTGTGTTGTTTCACACTGTATAGACATGTATTGTAACTGATGCTGACTGCGGTATGACTACCAGCGTACTGTGTTGTTTCACACTGTATAGACATGTATTGTAACTGATGCTGACTGCGATATGACAACCAATGTATTGTGTTGTTTCACACTGTATAAACATGTAATGTAACTGATGCTGACTGCGATATGACTACCAGCGTACTGTGTTGTTTCACACTGTATAAATATGTACTGTAACTGATGCTGACTGCGGTATGACTACCAGCGTACTGTGTTGTTTCACACTGTATAAATATGTACTGTAACTGATGCTGACTGCGGTATGACTACCAGCGTTCTGTGTTGTTTCACACTGTATAAACATGTATTGTAACTGATGCTGACTGCGATATGACTACCAGCGTACTGTGTTGTTTCACACTGTATAGACATGTACTGTAAGTGATGCTGACTGCGGTATGACTTCCTATGTACTGTGTTGTTTCACACTGTATAAACATGTATTGTAACTGATGCTGACTGCGATATGACAACCAATGTATTGTGTTGTTTCACACTGTATAGACATGTACTGTAACTGATGCTGACTGCGATATGACTACCAGCGTTCTGTGTTGTTTCGTACTGTATAAACATGTACTGTAACTGATGCTGACTGCGGTATGACTACCAGCGTTCTGTATTGATGTAATGATAAATGCCTCCTCTTAAGCTAAATATAGCACAGATATAAGTGTTTTATCTGATACTATATAAGTAATAAACGACAGAGCTGAAATTGAGATAAAACAAGGATAACACCCGAACCTTTTTACATGGTAAAACAAAGAATTTGGATAACATGTTTATATTATGAACCTAACATGGATATAAATAAAGACTATCAGGCCTTTTCGCCGCCGCAATTTGTTCCTGTATATTTTTACACTTTTGTGTACAATTTAGTACTTAATTGGTCATTTATGTGATGGTCGGGCCAGGTGAGCTTAT